GGATATTAGGACACATAAGCTTTGGGAATTTTTTACATAGCATTTTGGAGTTATATTGTTTACACATAGCCCAAGTCGGAGCCATGTGATTGTTTGTGCACTGTAAACAAACCGTTTGTTTGAGTCTCGCATTTGAATTTCGCGCGCTTGCGAAAGAACACGTTCAACTCGTATAACCCGACCTGTTCGTCGTTCTTTTATCGGCGCTTCCCCCAGCACCTTATAAAAACGATATGCCCGTTGCTTCTAACTTCAAAAACGAAGTCCAGTTTGACCCCAAACCATCTGTGCCTGGCCCTGACGCTATCTCCTCGCATCTGACGTGTTTGTACAAGAGTATGCGTAATGTTGATAGCTGCTAAAGGGTGAAATGGTTTGGCTGATAGCGATGTCTATTTTTGCATTATGGATGCCAATTCGATCTGATTGTGCGAATATTTTTGCGTTCGCTTTCCCAAGCGCTATATTTCTTCTAGAAAAAAGCATTCTGCAGATAATGGACATAGTTGAGATCAGAATTTCACGGAGAGCGTTTACGTTGATCTAACAAAGGTGTTTAGTAAAGTCAACCGCGAAAACTTACAAGGGAAGGACCCTCGGTCGAAGTGGGGTTCCCACACGTAATGCATATCGTTGCGCTAGACTCTGAGCACTAATAGCAAATCCGTCTTCCTTAGCTGCTCAATTATCTTTTTGAAAAAAATACCAGCGATGGTTTGCCAGGATGACCACGGATCGCCTAAGTCAGCGACGCCGAGAAATGTCAGTTGTGGAGGGATGGCCGAGTTTATAGCTGTGGAGTCCATGGAGGAAGCGATAATAAGAAAATACTTATGTTCCACATTTTGCACATTGGATTGTTTGATATGTATCTTTGAAGAGTCCCTGAGGCCTCGGACGGAGTTCACGCGATTTGATCGCCGCGATTTAATCTCCGCGATTTTCATTCATTTTCATTTTACATTCACAAATATCGAGCTGAAAAAGTGTCACAACCGAAATGCAAGCTGATCGGCATGCAATGAACTCGTAACAGTTGTCTTGTAGCGTTGAGTCGCGACGACCAAATCCCGTGAACTCTGTCCGAGCCCTAAGGCAGAACACCCGGTACCCGTCAAATAACTTTCAAAATGTAAGAATGTTTGGAACATGAGTATTTCTAACATTTTACCACTTCCTCTATAGTCTCCGCAGCTATCCACTCGGCCATCCCTCCAAAACTTACATTTTTCGGCGCCGCTAACTCAAGCGATCCGTTTATCGTGGAGAAATTATCACTCGTAACTTCTACCAAAAGAGCATTGAGTAGCCAAGAAACACGGATTTGGCATTAGTGCCCTAAGACCAGCACAATGATATGCACACGTGTGGGAACCCCACTTCGATCGAGGGTTCTTCCCTCTAAGTAAACTAAAGTATTTGGGTATAAATGGCAAATTACTGGGAAAGGATTGCTTCGTACCTATCTGACAGACATCTGACGGTTAGAATTGGTCATTGCCACTCGCAAAGGCATATATGCACCAGTAGAGTACCACAGGGAGTTGTCCTTTCCACATTTTTGTTTCTTCTTAATACAGTTGATATGTCAAGTGCTATCATTACGTCTACACACATTGAAATCAAATTGTAGGCCGATGATATAAAGAAAGATCTATGGGAATTATAGGATGAGAACTCTTATGAGGTAAGATCTGCTCTACAAGCATCGTTATGTAAACTTGCAGAGTAAGCATTTTTTGGTGCTCACCGATCAACCTTGAAAAATCCTCCTTTATGCACTTAGGCGGTGGCTAAAAGCAGACGAACAAGTTGGGTGTGGACATGAGACAGAATAGTTTCATCTACAATTTGGGTGTTCGTTTCAATGAGTCTCTGGATTTCACTGAGCATATAAATGAGGCTCTTACCAAGGCATTTGGCTCGGTCTTTCGGATACTTCGAAATGTCCACACGGATAATTTAACGATTATGCTACGGCTTTACGAATCCTTTGTTTTAGTTGAACTTGAATGCTGCTTACGACGTCCGAGTCCGAGTAAACTTAAGCATATTAAAAAGCTTGAAAGAGATATCTACTAGAATGGTGATGAGAAGGTTTATCATCAATTGTACCGCTCTGAGTTTGAAAGCTTGAAAAAGCTGGGACTTGAATCTCTTCTTTGCAGAAGAACTAAATCTGATCTCTTGTTTTGCTTCAGAGTTCTGAAACCTGAGGCCAAGTTGAATCCCGGTTTATGCCTGCTTACAATAGACACGGTTTTTTAAACTTGCATTACCCAAAAGTTGAGAGGAAACAGCCAACCTGTCATTTAATCATATCTTTTCGGAGAGCTAAATGAGAGCTTTGTGACTTGCTTCTGGTTCTCATTACAGGTCTGCTAGTTTCCGGTCTTCTTGCTGACCCCCGCTTGTCGACTCATGTGTTTTCGACTTTGCTTTTCCCACATAGCTTTTACGATAGCCGCTTTCGTGGAGGGCTTTGCCATTACGTCGGTTACGACTTCATGTTTTTTCGATTTGTCGTGTTTCGTGTCTCTCGGTTTATCGTGTTTATTAACATGCTTTGGCTGCCTTGTCACCCACTTTCGGAAGAGCAACAGCACTGCTTCTTGGGACCGTAGACAGCTGCATTTCATGCATGATTTGCCCAAAATAAGACAGGTGTGTATCCAAGCGTCGGTAGTGTCAGGTTGGTAAATACCTGACAGGAACCAATCGCAGACGTTTTGGACAGCCCGTAAAAGTGGCAGTGACATTTCCCAACCCCATCCCCTGTCCTCCCTTGACCAAATAGAAATTTTTCTTCCTTGACACCTGAGGTTATTCGCTGTTTGTTTGTTCTTTGAGGGTGTCAGGGTAGTTTCTCTTACTCTAGCAATGTTTTCTTTAATCACACAGGTTTGGCACAAGTTCACCTGTATGAGATAAAGGCAAAAATAAAGATATGCACTTTTTCTTCCTTTCTGTTTCTAACTTGACCCCGTATTTATCTCGGTTGTATGCCAAAAACAGATTTTTAATGCCACCGAGGAGCATATAGAGATTAATCTGATTTTTTGCAACGCTCTAGATGATGAAATCCGTACGGACATATATTAATTAGCTGCATGGGTTGCTCACCCAATTACCGTAAAGTAGAGCCAGAACACAAATGGATGAGGTCAGAAGCTCAAGCCACTTTTTTTGGTACTTTTGAAGAGTCGCATATAGGGCTTGGCACGAGCTGGCACCAGGGAAATTCAAAACAAAGTTTTTGACCTGTTGCGAAGACCCGTCTATTTTTTAGATCCTGTACAGGTAAGTGATAGGGTTTTGACGCACGCTGATTTCATGGAATGACTTTTCATAGTTTTCTGAGCTTCTTAAGTGGTTGAATCACATATGAGATGCAGTAAAAAAGCAGATTTTTCGACTGCTTAGCAGACCAAGAAATTTTCAGATGCCTATAAAACGCCGAAAAGAAAACATTATGAAATCGTTTTTTCTGTATGTAAACTTTTACGCTGTAGATCATTTTATGTAAAAAACTATGAAAGTTTATGTTAGCGAAGTGTCGGTGCCAGCTAATTCAGAAAAGTTCAGCACAGCTTTCATTCACACAAGTTTTCTTAAATTTTTGGGCTATAGTTCGGATCTCCCAATGCGCATGCACACACCAAATTTGGTCTCATACTATTGCTTTTTTCTGAAAACAACGCCTTTGTTTGTTAGATTGACAGCATACCGATGCGTGCCGGCGGCATCTTTGCGGCTGTCCTCCGTCCCGGACCCCGGAAAAAACGATATCCCCTTTACATTCCGCTCAAAAAACGATATCAGGCTTGACCCGTGCCAGCTGTGCCGAGCCCTGGTCGCATAACACTAACATGGAATTTTGCGTCAATGTTCGCGAAATGGCGCCTGTTGACCATTTTTCATTCATTTCGATAGGCACGGTCTTTTTCCACGCCAATGCGACATCCCTTCCCCCTAAACTGAACACATTTTCGACTCTTTCGAGTCTTTGCAAAAATAGACAGAGGTCGGAACTTGCTGGGCGTGCTTCTTACGAGCCATGCCCGGCAATAAATTGTTTAGAAAGTGGACAGAAGCGGACCCAGCAACACCTTGCTACGAAGCGCCCGTCACACCCCGATTATACCCGACCGTCCTAGGAAGTGAGACAAACACTAGTCCAACCATCTTTGCTGAATGCAGCCGCGTCACGAGCCCGTATACTTGTTTGCCAGACAGCGAACATTTCTCTCTCAAGAAAATGTTGAAAAAAATCAGTTCGCAGTAGCAAAAAGACAAGCACAAATGACAAAATTCTGTTTACCATCATATCATCGTAAGATAGTGCATTCGTTACATTACAGATTCCAAAGGCGAGTTTGTGGTTTACTTCAGGGCTCAGCACAGCTGGCACCGGGTCAAGCTGGATATCGTTTTTAGGGCGGAAAGTACATGAACGTATCTACACTGTAAAAGATTACAAACGAAGAAGAAACAGTTTCATGATGTTCTCTTTTCAGCGTTCTGTAGCAACTTAAAAACAATTCGACCCGCTCCGCAGTCGAAAAATCGGCTTTTTTGCATCTCAAGATGTGATTCGACCACTTAAAAAGCTCAGAAAGCTGTGAAAAGTCCTTTCATGAAATCAGAAATGCATGAAAGCACTACTTCATTTCTTTACATAATATAAGAATGATGACGGATTTTCAAAACAGGTCAAAAGGGACTTCGTAGGAAATTTTCAATATCAAACGGGACTTCTTTTGAAATTTCCCTAGTGCCAGCTCGTGCCAAGCCCTGGTTTACTTACAAGGATGACCTTAAACTTTGCAGAAAGAATGAAGTAATGAGTT